AATGAAGATAGTAACGAAGTGGTATAGTGATGATGATGATGATGGTGGTGACGAAGACGATGGTGATGATGACGATGATGGTCTTGCTGACAGAGTGATTGTTACGATGGTATCCATCCAAGATGATGGTGATAACTATGAAGAGAAAAACTGATTAACAATATAAATAAATAGTTACGAAGATTAAGATAATGTTGACGATAATACTACTACTACTACTAATAATAATGGAAAAATATAGGTAATAATAATAATTTTGATAGTGACCATGATGATGATGATGAAAACGATGATGATGACGACGACGATGACGATGATGACAAGCCAGGGTAGTTCACAGCACATTAATATAAGAATGATAAGCACGATTCGCAAATAGTAATAATAATGCAGCGCTATAAAATGATGATAATAACAATAATAAAAACACAATAAAATAATAATAACGAAGCTATGTTAATTAATGTTTATGTTATGTTTATGTTTTGTTTATGCTCGCTCACGTGTTAGTTCAACTCTTTAATTTCTATGGTTATCTAATAATTTTTTATAACTCTGTAACTTTTTGGGCACAAATAAATCAACAAATAATTTACACAAACCACAAACACACATACACACACACAACACACACACACACACACATGTATAACATATATTGACGTTTTATATATATACATACATACATATATACATTATACAGGTATACACATATATGTTAATGCATACAGAGTGAGTGAGAACAATAGAAAAAGTAATGCAGTATATAAAGAGAAAAAGAAAGAATTAGTTCACAGTTGGTTGAATGCTAATGTTTCAAATTTGTTGAGTTAGTTTTCAACATTTGTTGCCGCAACTATAACCAAAACTTTTATTGACTAAAGTTTACCTCGTTTAAATAACTGTTGGATAATTTATTTTTTGTTGTTGAAAAGATTTATTTGGACTGTTGCCGATGTTTTGATGTTGCTGCTTGTTTGTTGTCGGATGTTTCTCAGCATTTTTTAAACATTGGATTATTAAACAGAAACTTTTAGTTGACGACAAGTTGATTGAGAGTTGCAAGCTACTGTCTCTACTGCTGGCTGATTGTTTGTCCTAGGACATCACATCAGTTAATCATAATCCACATACCCTTTTGTCGCATCACTTGAAGGTGGCCAATTGTTTTCTGCTTTTTTGACCTATTGATTATAAATTAATTAATTAATTAATTAATGTAAAATAAAAAATGGAAATATGTTAAGTAAGTGGTGATCAAATTAATACTCCAGCTGTCATTGATAGTGATTTAATAAATTAATATAATAACATATTATTCAATTAATAAATTAGTCAATTTATTAATCAATCTATCATTCTATCTATCGATCATTAAAAGAAAGAATGAATGAACTAACGTATGAATGATTGATTGAATGATTGATAAAGATATTCAATACCCTCAAAAAGATCATCGTACCAATTAAACAGTCACGCTATTCTTTCGAATGTGCGTGTGTGCATGCGTGCGTGTGTGTGCCTGCGTGCGTGTGTGTTTGCGTGCGTGTGCGTGTATAGCGCACATCTGCTGAATATT